AATTATTGTTGCTTTTCCACAATAAGTTTTTCATTAAAAACGGCCTCGAGCTCGATAAAAATTATTGAATATATTTTAAGCAAGTTAAAAGTAACTCCCACTTACCGTTGATTTTTGGGAATTTGTTTTGTTGCCGGTATTGCTCACTGAGTGCAAGTGACAGCGGCAATGAGTCACTCACTCAACAAAAAAAAATCCAAAAATCAACGGTAAGTCGGAGCTACTTTAAACTTGCACTTTATTATACAAAAATTTAATGTACTGCAAACCTGCATACTCAAAATATTTCTAAAAAATATACGTACATATTTGTACAGTTTTCACACAACAATCGTGTACTTATGTCTTGTTTCTAGAATTTTGCCTGAAGCAGAAAACTCTTTCATTATGTAGTTGATGAGCGAGCTGGTTTGCTTAAAATTTTGTTTTGAAAAGATTATAAGAGGGTCAAATATTAAGCTTTCTCACAAGCCAGTGCGTTTAGCGCTGAGCGTTGGCCATAGTGTCCTGGCAGTTTTACAGGTGTTTTCGTCATGCCACCTGTTGTTCGCTACTTTAGTGAGCCTCTCGGAGATAAGTAGCTTGCAAGTTTGTAAAGGTATTCCTATTTCATTGTTTATATTCTCAATAGGGAGTTTGGTGCCAAGTCGCACCAGTTCATCGGCCTTGCAGTTCCCTTCAATGTCACAGTGTCCCAGAACCCATATCATCTTTGAGCGAAATGACTCAGGCATCTCGGTAAGAGATGTGCGGCATTTCATGGCTACCATGGAGGTTGTCGACTGTGGTTTTGTGACTCGGTCGGTTCCCATCAGTTCCGCCTAAAAAACGCTACATTGGTTCGGAAGGCGCGGAGATTCCTAGGTGTTCAGAGTATACACCCCCACCAACCCTTCCCTCGAGCTTTGAGCCATCTGTGTATACATGGCCACTCCTTAGAGCGTCTCGTTTCCACTCTTACCTTGATGGTAGTAAACGCTGTAGTGGGAGCAGAGTTCGGAAGGGCGTAGCCCACCAATCCGGGTAGCTCCGAAAACTCCGTTAGTATTCTACCATTACCATAACTGGTGTTTGACCACTTATTTAGACTATTCATACGAATTGCCGTAACGCTTGCGACTGGTTTGGCATGTAGATCTATCGGAAGAAAGTTCAGTAGGGCATATAGAGCCTTGGATGGTGTTGTTCTCATTGCACTAGTTATGAGTGTGAATGCGAGCCTTTGGGCCTTACCCCTTTCCCAAAGGTGTCCCACCATACCACTATGCCATGATAGATAATTGGCCTAACTACTGCTGTGTATGGCCAGTGTATTATTTCGGGTTCCCTCCCCCATCTTTCTCCTATTAACCTGCCGCAAGTGTATAGTGCTACTATTGCTTTGCGCCTCTATTTGCAATGTTGGGCCCCCAATTAATTTCCTATCTAGTATGAGACCGAGATATTTGGTCTCTTCCTTTACTTCAAGAGTTTTTCCTTCTAGAGTTATAGCATCTAGGTCGGATATCTTGTGCTTCCTAGTGAAGAGCACTAAGTTCGTCTTTTCAGGATTTATTCCCAGCCCTCGCCTGTTGCACCATATTGATAGTTTGTTAGGAGATTTTTGAATTATATCGGCCTGAGATAGCTATTACAAAATCGTCGGGGTTTGTGGGGTACATAATTAAATCGTAACGCTGTCTCAAAGACGAGTACGAGAATGGGTGCAATCAGTTCTGCTATATGCTGTAGGTCGGCGGGAATGATTTAGTCTGGTCCCGGAAACTTATACGGTTGGAAGCTGTTAATAGCCCGTTTAATGTTCTCCTCAGTACTAAAGTTGGTTGGGAGGTCATCGTTGTTGCCCGCGAGTTCGAGTGTTGGTAACTTTTCTCCGGAGGCAGCCCGGAAAGTGCGTTTGTATTAGAAGCTCCAATTTTTCTTCGCTGCCAGCTGTCCGATCCCCATCTTCTTTGATGGGGAAGCTTATATTGCTAGGACACGTTGATAATAGGAGCGTTCCTTATCTCCCAGAAATAGTCAGAAAAAGTCCGAAGTAGTCAGATTTAGTCCAAAAAGCGTTCCTTAACTCGGAAATGACAGCTAAATTGAGAGAGCAACACCCAGTGAGAGTGACTCTCATCAGTCCGAAGTAGTCAGATTTAGTCAGAAGAATTTTTTCTGGCAAACTCCTGGAAAGTATCAAACTCAACTAAATTTAAATTAACGGAAATTAAAGAATATACAAAAAGTGAGAATAATCTAAAAAGTAAAAAAAGTGAATTGAATAGGAAGGAGGCAAAAAATAATTGATATAGTAAGTGTTTATTGTGCTTGTGCTTATGTGAATGTGTTTTGTACATACATTTCCATTCTTATTTGACGTTAGCTTTGTTGTTGCCATTCTTTGGACTAAAAATTTGGTTTTTTGCGTTCCTTTACTTTTCCTGTTATTCTCTTTTAGTGAGACAACTACGCCTTTAATGAAAATACTCCAGCTTTTTCGCTGTCTAGATTGTATCAATTGTACTCGATTAAATTTTCCAGTATAAAGCTTAGTATCCAGCTCTTAAGAAAAGCAAAAACTCCATATAAA